GAGAGAGAGAGAGAGAGAGAGAGAGAGAGAGAGAGAGAGAGAAAGAGAGAAAGAGAGAGAGTATTACTGTTTTTCTTTCATATAAATTTTTTTAAATTTTACTGTGTTTTTAGTAGTTCAGGAATATATATAGACTGTCAATAAAGTTTATCTTGCTGAGAAATATAAAATAATTTCGCTAGAAATTACAGCAAGCGCTATAAGCACGTTTCAATTGCTAAACTAAATTGCTAAATAAATAGAGTATATATGAAATGAAAGATATATATGAAACGAAAAATCGTGAATTATTGCAGAATGTCGATTTATTCATTTCGGTTGGAAAATTCCACGATAATTTTTATCACAAAATTTTCCCCGTGTACTTTTATCTTGTTTATTCTCATTATTTTCACAACTCACACTTTTCACTCTACAAGCATCCGCCCAAAATTGATCGAGTGGCGCGATGACGTGGCGCGGACATCAGCTGAAATTTGTCCGTCGTTTGAAGAAAAAAAAAATAAACGCTCTCGCACTGCTCGCTCGCATTATCCTTCACCAAGGATATGACGCATACACTCCGGGCAATTGTGCTTTCGCAACGCGCAATTTACTTCGCCGAGAGACACGTGAAGGGACACGTGCTACGTTCGGCGCAATTTCTTTCTGCCTGAGGATATGAAAAAGAAAGAGGGAGAGAAGAAGGAGGAGGAGGTGGGGGCGCGATTTTATGATAAATATCAGTTTCGTTGAGATGCGTGATCATCGACGAAAGTCCAGATACGATTTTGTCATTTTTTGTTTGCAGCCAAAAGAGGCAGCAGCAGCAACAGCAGCAGCCACGACTACGGTACCATCAGTACCAGCAACAGCAGTACCAGCGACAGTACACGCAGCAGCAGTTGTTGTCGCAGCAGCAGTTGCTGGCGCAGCAACAACGGCAGCAGCAGCAGCAGCAGCAACAACCACCTCAGCAGCAGCAGCACATCTCCTGGCACAGGACCACTCTTGCCTCCTGACCACCGTGACCTTGACCCCGACCATGAGTCCAGCGATCCTGGTACACGGAGAAAGGAGCCGCGCCGGACGAGGAACGCCGCGACGCCACTTCTTGCATGGTTTCGGCCAGCCGAGGCCGAAAGCATGCAAGAAATGACGTCACGGCGTTTCTCAACGACGCCGAGAAGTGCGGACGAAGAAACGCCGGCGAGGACCGTCGCGGAATGGCCTTCGCAAAAGCGCATCCTACCTCTCGCGATGGTGTAGTCGAATCGCACGCGCTCGACTTTATCCCACCCGAACGCTCTCCTCCGATTACGCCGTTAATCTCGAACTGTCGATGAGAAAGAAATGTTGTGCGCAAAACAACAACAAGAAAATCGACAAGTTGTGTACATATATAATACTTCATTCACTGAATACACCAGCAATTATATTCTCTTACATTATGCGCGTCTCATTGAAGCCCGTGTATCAACAGTTATTACTTGAAACTCGTCTCAAATGATCTGAATTGAACGTTATACGGAAGTTTTTCTGTTCAGTCGCGATCTGTACAGATATAAATGTCACGTATATATCATGGCTCAATTGAAAAACTTGTATTTAACTCGCGATAAAAATAACCGTTTATTTCATATAAGACAAGTTTCAGGTGGCAACTATTAATACCGGTCTACTAAGTAAAGCAAGAGAGACGGGGAATACGAGCGAGACTAACGGCGTGTTAGAGGACGACGCGTTGGCACCAAGGGACGCGCACCTCGACAGACTTGATTGAACGTTGGTGAATTATGTAAGAGCGCGAATCTCATGTGATAAAATCGTACGCGGATGATGAAGGCGGTGACCGATAAGTAGAGTAGATTAGCGATGTATTTAGACGGAGGGAGCCGCGAACTCCTCAACGCGAGCTTGAAGATATATTTTTCTGTTAAATCTTCTCTTGTATCGTCGACGGGACCGTACGTATTCTCGTATCTAGCCGGTCGTCGTAGAGCCAGTCAGTGATCGCTGTCAAGAGAAATTGACACGCAAAAGGAAGAGAGAGAGAAAGAGAGAGAGAGAGAGAGAGAGAGAGAGAGAGAGAGAGAGAAAGAGAGGGAGAGAAAAGAAAGCAAGGTAAAGGAAAACACGAAGTAGTTGCGAAGAGTTGTGCAACTTCGTGCGCATAATACGTGTGTATGCACGCAGATCGGGACTTCGATGTATGATTCATCCGTCGCGCCGGGTACAATTACGTCGGGAAGAAAAGCGCGCACATCTATCAGTGCGACGCTTTGTAAGACTACAACACCGCCGCTTCTGCATTGTCAATTCTGCGAAGCTTTCTCTCTCATCGTCACACCCCGCAGAATCTCTCGATACGTTAAGTGCAATAACACGCGAACGCCGTGATGAGGCTTCACACCGTTTTCGTACGCGTTACCTGTTTTCGGTGAGAAATCAAGAATTGCGTTTGTCAGCTCGTTTGTTACGAATATTACTCAGGTGCGAGCGAGCGAACGAAAGAGCGAGCAAGCGAACGAATTCCGACCAAGGGAAAGGCAAATCCGTTTCTCCCCGGTGGACACGATTTCACGGGAAAAAAGAGATTTGCTGGTACAACTGAAAACCTCGCTAGCCTAGAAAATCTATAGTTGCAATATACGGACAGACAGTTTGCTATGCCACAGTAATTAAGTCGCAGAGCTGCATAAGATTTGTGTGTAGTTGTACCTAATAAATGACATATTGGTTAGGCTGTGTAATTTGACGTTGTAGGCAGATTTGTTAGTACAACGAAACTGATTCTGTATCACAACTAATTAAAAATATAGCTTGGTACATGCAACTAATCCTTTAGCTGTTATATCAAAGAACATTACACTTCAATATAGCTGAATCATTGCTCCGGCAATAAAAATCAACTAAAGCAAAAATGCATTGAAATGTCCCGACTATTTATACTTAGCGACAATTCAAATAGTATACTAAACTATTAGAAATGTAAATATACACCTAAAAAGATGTATATAATTTCAATCAGTACATTACATGTACATATATTGAATGCACACAAAGTTGCTAACGTAAAAACGCAAACTTAAAATGTGCAAAGCGTAATAACATATCTCTTATTGCGAATTTTTACATTCAAACTTAATGGGAGTGCATTTCTCTGTTGTAAAGGAACAAATATATTTCCTCATTATCTATTGAATAATTGCATGACACTGTTTAGTAAAATTCATGGATTAATGTCGCAAGTTTCAGTTAGCTCGAAATACGAAATGATTTGTTGCAGTAACTAAAATAATGTCGACAAAAATGAATATACTCTATGAGCAAGTTGAGAACTACCAACATAATTGCTGCACTAACAAATCTGCTTAATCATAACGTTTAATTTTAATGAACTGTAAGTCTGTCGAATCAATTTTTTCCCACATTGGAATTCGATACAACGCGATAGGATTTTTTTTCACGGTGATAACCGAATCATCGCGAGTGTAATCTCCTCGCATCTGAAGCCACGTTTGATTGTTTCTCGTATCATAAGGCGGCACGTGATTTCTTTGGTTCGTTGTGTTGTTACGTTGTAGTTTGTACAGTTTATTAAAGGATTATTATTAACTATTCGTATATGTGATACACGCTCGCGTAATGTGTAATAATATACCTTCGATTTTCGCGCACGGCGTCGTCACGGCGATCGTAACTAGTCTCCCGACCCGAGCGAGGTAGAAATTAGCGCGCGTCACGATCAAATATTTATATCTTGTGACTTACGAGCCGAGTTTGCATCGGACGGCATGCGATCATCCGCCGTTCGCGCAATTAGCGATTTATGCCTTTGAAAAGACCAATACTTTGACTCCTTCGACGATCCGTCGCGGCGCGAGCGAACGATTTCGCGAGGACGCATATGCGGCGAATGTCTCTCCCGAAGGAAAGCCACCGATGAATCTCGAAATTGCGTCAGAACATATTTCCTCGCGATATCACATTCATGGAAGAATTCCCAGTCGTTTCCCGGTGACGTGTTTGCTCGGCTATATCCAAAACAATAGAATCTTATCTTTAACGGAATCCTCCTATATATGGCCTCAAGAGGATTCTTCCAAGATCAAAATGAAAATATAAAAAAAACTGTGGATAAAAAAATGATAAATATGTAGAAAATTGGTGCTACTTCCGATGGGCTTGACCTTGTTATAGAGATCACTCTCCTGAGTGACCTTCTGAAGGTTTTAGCTGTCGCTCGTTGTTCGTTAAAAAGTTATTAACAAAAGAAGTTGCATCAAATGAATGTAATTTTTGGATACTGCATATACAAGAACATCGAATTCGTAGACTAGGAAGGTGCCTGTCCTTAGCCGTGTAACGGGGGGGCTACGCCCAAGTCTATTATATTTAAATTAAAAAGTGAAAATTTCTCACAAAAGACTAGGCCCTCCTCCCCGCCGCAGTGCGGAGGGCATAGCCTCCCAGTTACACGGCTAGGGGCAGGCACTTTCCAAGCAAAAAATTAAAATAATGCGGCGGTACGCACACACACACTGCTCGGGCGGGCGAGCGCGCTTGCTGGCGAGCAGTGTGTGTGTGTGTGTGTGTGTGTAGCAGGTACTTTCCTAGCGTACAAATTCCATGTTTTTGTATATACGTTGTCCAAAAATTACATTCATTTGATGCAACTTCTTTTGTTAATAACTTTTTAACGAACAACGAGCGACGGCTAAAACCTTCAGAAAGTCACTCAGGAGGGTGACCTTTATAACATATGTCAAGGTCAAGCCCATCGGAGGTGGCACCATTTTCTATATATTTACAAAAAAAAAATATAAATAATATAAAAAAAATATATATGTATACTGCGTTCAAGAAAATGTTACTTGTTTCAGGTATTTCGTAACTTTATGACACTGTTTAGTAAAATTCATGGATTTATGTCATAAGTTTCAGTTAGCTCGAAATACGATGTTTGCAAAACTATCACAAATTTTGTTATAAGTATCACAACAAAATATTCAAAATACATACTGAATCCTAGCTAGTTTAGCATTTCAATTTAGTAAATTTGACAAGCAAAATTTGTACTATAAATTTGTACGATAAATGTCCCAATGCCCGGACATGTACCTAATTCCGGACTCTTATTATTTTGAATATTTCTCTAAATATTTCATCTTTCAACGTACACTAAATATAAATATTAAATGTACGTATACCAATATGTATGTATTGTATGTTGAAAGTTGAAATATTCATATTCAAATATAAAAATAATAACAATGTCCGGAAATTGGTACGTTTACCTTAGATGAAAGATAAAATTCCTTCAAATTTTACTTATCATTATAATATTGTGCTTGGAATGTTTTCCTTTTGGTTTAAGAGAAATTCTCTTGATTTTAAAATCCACATATAAGAGAATTTCGCTAAGGATGAGATTATATTATTTTTAGATGTACTTTTCAACTGAGCGAGTCGTGCACGCCTTTGTAACATTACGTTCCTTTGTAACGTTGGGCACGATAACGCGACGAAATTTACGATTCTATGAGGTGCTTGTAGCCACGGAGATACTGTCACGATGCGATAACTCTGAAGACTTTATATGCGCTTGTACTTCATGTGTGTTATTTGCATAAATATCTTCTTTCTCATTTCGTATCACCTTTCTCATATCGCGCTTGCGATAATTGACGCTAATTGAGCTGCAGTTATTTTTAATCCGGGTCTTTTCGGGTTAAATGTCTCTATAAGGTAGTCGATCATGATTATCGTTTCGCGTGCGAGCGCGCCGGCTATTTCCGTCCGAAGCACCGGAAAACCTCAGAAAGACATAATAATGTACCACAGAGAGAGAGAGAGAGAGAGAGAGAGAGAGAGAGAGAGAGAGAGAGAGAGAGAGAGAGAGAGA